TTCCAGTTATAATTCAAAAACCAGAGGGCACAACTTTCCTACAGTGCAATCACACTGCTTGATGTTGAGCCAGGTTCACAGGATGAAAATAAAAGCAACTGGGTCCCAAAGGAAACCAGTGGGGGGGAGGGGGGAGGCTCTGCAAGCCGGCCAAAACCCATGAAAAGTTAAGTGGTGATGGTCACGGAGCAATAAGCTCCACTGCTCCAAGAATCTCAAACTGAAATAAGTTTCTGGCCCTCATGGTTCCCAAGATCTCTGGCAAAATGCTGTGGCAAAAGATTTTTGATGGTTGGAAACAAAAAGAGGCACATGCAGAAAAGCCCAGGTCCAGCAAAAACAAGGCCTGGATGACATGCCTAGTTAAAATAAGACTAGAGCTCAGCATTCACACACCCCTTGATAATGAATAAAGGGCATGTTATAACCTTTCTATTCTTTCAACAACCCTTTAGAATAAGCCAGTATTGGGGGGTTTGTTGTTGTTGTTTTGCAAAGTTTATTATTATTATTTCATTTTATAATGTACCAAAACAGAGACAACAATTTCAAGAAGAAGTTGCCTCCCCTCACCCATGACTTCCGCCCAAGCAATACACAGGACAACATAGTTATTGGGTCAAATCAGGCCACAACTTTATTGATGACAGATGCAATGGTCTTGGGAAAGGCACTGGGTACGGCCACATGACCTCCAGCCTGCCTGTTATGGGGTCAACCTGAGGCCAAGGGTTGCCGCCCTGAGGAGCACGATGGCCCCCGCTTGGGATTCTGGACAGAAGCAACTACTTCTGGATCCCCTTAGGACTGGAGAGGCAAAGGCTAAGTCTCCCCTCCACCAAAGACCAGGTCCAGCAATGATCAACAGTGAGATCCCACAAGCAACCAAGGGAGGAGCTGGGCGCCAGCAGTGTTCCTGAGGTGGACTGGAGTGGAGATGAGTGTCCAGTCCAAGCTGCCCCAGGGATGGAGCCAGCGGAGAGGCTTGCCTGCTATTGGCCAGTCAGCCAGCAGCCTTTGATCCACTTCCCAGACCAGCACAAAGCCCACTTGGGCTGGGCCTGGGGGAAATCCCCATCCCTTGCCAACTCATGGTGTGGAGAGAGGCCCTGCCATGCAGTGCTGCCTGACCAGTTAAGGTAAGCATAATCATAGAACCATAGAATAGAATCATAGAATCATAGAGTTGGAAGAGACCACAAGGGCCACCGAGTCCAACCCCCTGCCAAGCAGGAAACACCATCAGAGCACTCCTGACATATGGTTGTCAAGCCTCTGCTTAAAGACCTCCAAAGAAGGAGACTCCACCACACTCCTTGGCAGCAAATTCCACTGTCAAACAGCTCTTACTGTCAGGAAGTTCTTCCTAATGTTTAGGTGGAATCTTCTTTCTTGTAGTTTGGATCCATTGCTCCGTGTCCGCTTCTCTGGAGCAGCAGAAAACAACCTTTCTCCCTCCTCTATATGACATCCTTTTTATATATTTATAATTATAAATATATTTTTTATATATTTATAAATATATTTCTTATATATTTATAATGATAAAGACAAAAATGGAAACCAAAACTATAAAATAGGCATGCAGAATGAATGGTTGTACATGACTTAAAATAAAGTCCAAGTAGAGACTATCAGATCATCAAGTATAATTCCAGATTTGCCCGGCTTTTGACGAGGGTTGACTTGAAAATGAAGGTTTTGCTGTATATGTCATAAAGTAATGCCAAATGATATTAAAACTGTCTGGAGGTTCTAGTCTTTGTTGAAATCTCAAATTATACATTATTTTCTCCATCACAGCTATATTCCCGAGTGAGTGGTACCAAGCGTTCAGTGTAAGATTTTGGGCTGTTTTGCATTGAGTTGCACTTCCAGTTTGTGCTGCCGGTATCATATAGAAGACTAATTCTATTGGTATCATAAAAAATGTCCAGTAATATTAATTTTGGACAACAAACAATAGTTTCCTTAGTAGTATTTCATTCCCTTCAAGTGTCCCAGTTTTCTAGGGACAGTCCTGGAATTACAGAAGTCATCCCGGTTTCTGAATTGACCCTGGAATGTCCCGCTTTTCCCTTTTCCTCGCCTCCATGTCTCAGAGAACAATTAAAAGTGGGGGAGGGGGTGGTAGCTGCAAAAAACAGAGTCCTGTTCATACCGAAAATAAGATCGTTGCACCAAGTGAAGGAAAAGGTGAATCTAGCAAGCAAAGCCCTTTCTATAATTTTGAAGGAAAAGTTCACCAATCCACTTTAAATTCTTTAATTGCAATGCTTTCACAGTCAGTCATTTTTAGGAAACGCAGAGAGCCTTGATTTCTTTATTGTAAGTTGAGCCTTCCACTGTCTACTCACAAGTAAGTCCCGCTATATTCAATGGCGCTGAAACCCAGGTACCTGGGTCAAGACTGGGCAGCGTCACACTGCAATCCAAAGCGTGTATACTCAGAACTAAGTCCCACTGAGTTCAATAGGATTTACTGTCTGGTATGTTCCTGATCATTCTCATGGTTACTACTGTTACTGTTACTACTATTACTACTAACAACAACAACCATTTCCCACCCTTTTCCCTGTCAGGGACTCAAGGCAGCTTACAGCTACAGGTTTATTTCACTGTTGTACACGATCCCTTTCCTCGCACATTTTTTCTTTGCAACAATTCTGCAAGGTAGGTTCAGTGGAGAGGCTGTAATTGGCTCCAAGTGACCCATGTAGATGTGTCTATGACGTCTATGTGTGCGGGAGATCAAACACGGGAGAAGCTTCCTGGTATAGAAAGAGATGGCCCTATTTTCATCAAAGAAATGTTGGTGGGTATGATACTTATCATCTTTGTCAAAATTAAATTCCAAAAATCTCGCACCAACTAACATTCCCACCATAAAAGATAATACGTACCAAGTTTATTGTAACCCCTCCAACAATTAGGTGATATAGAATTTTTTTTTGACATTTGCAAAGGGGTGTGTTACCATCTCTGCAATAATTTCCCCATTTTTAAAAGGGGTTTCATAGATCCATAAGTTAAATTGAGCAATATAGAGTACAATTTAGAATCTAATCCTTTTGCCCCTCTGCATTTAATAAATTTTCTAAATTGTGTTAAGGGTTTCAGAGCTTGTGTTTTTACATGTTGTTTTAAAATAGATTCAGTTACTGTTAAGATTTGACAAAGGTATTTTTATTTGGTTAATAGATATAGGTTGATTATTGCTATACAAATCTCATTATGCATATAATCCTATGGATTCCCAATGTTCAAATTGCTTATCTCTCCCTTTGCTGGGTGGTGTGATATTGGGATTAATGAAATAATAGGTGTAAGTTTAGGTTGCCAGATTTTCTATACCCTAATAGTACAATTAGTAAATGGATTTGCTACAGTGTTCAATAGATTTGTTTTAAGATTCTTAAATAGAAAGTTTGGAAAGTTTGATTTCAATGGTGAATGGGAGTGAAAGGAGAGAGAAGAACCCTCTGCCACTACAGTTTGGAGTTTTAATTATACCAGGTTTAATATTGTCAAGAATGATCCTGAATAATAAATTATTATTATTATTATTATTATTATTATTATTATTATTATTATTATTATTATTGCCCCGCCCATCTGGCTGGGTTACCCTCTGGGTGGCTTCCAACAAAATATTAATATTATCTCTGATGAGGCACAGACACTGAAGATAAAGAGAATAGCCTGAAAACAGTTGGAGATTGTGAAGAATGGGATGTGTGGGTAAAATGTCCTGGGATTCCCTTATAGTGGTTTTTAGAAAGCATTGATTCACAACAGCAGCGCACTGAATCAGCAGACTCTGAAGCCCCAGGCAGATGGCCATCCAGTATAAAGGACTGCATGGAGGGAGACCCATGACTGCATTCATCAACCCACATTCAAGACTTCATTTGCATAGGAGCCTATACCCAATGCACAGCACGTGTAGGATTCTCACATGCAACTTTGGCTCTGCAAAAAGGGAAGGTACAGGTCCTGCATAGAAAACCTATTTATGCAGCCCCTTCTGCAAGCATGATCCCAGTCCGGCCCACACATATTTATTTGTATGTACAATTTCTGTTTACACACTGGGTTTGAGATATCTCTGGCTATATAAAGAAAACAATGATTTCCACCCTCCCTGTGATCCTTCACTTTTCTCTTTGTGCAATGGCAGTGATCAATGCAGCTGATCAGACTCCAAGTCCTGTTAACAGAGAAAAAGTCTGGTGGTAGATTGTAACCCTGTGGCCATGGACTATGGTTGTATCCAACAGTAAGAGGGCACCGGTGGAAGCGCCTTCTGTATGCGCAACAAGACTCTCCCTTCCAGCCATCTTCAAATATCTCAAGGGCCGTCACATGAAAGACAGAGCAAGCTTGTTTTCTCCTGCTCTGGAGGGTAGGACTCGAACCCATGGCTTCAAGTTACAAGAAAGTAGAGTCAGACTAAACAGAAGGAAGAACTTTCCAACGGGAAGAGCTGTTCAACAGTGGAACAGACTCCCTCCGGTGGTGAAAGACTCTCCTTCCTTGGAGGTTTTTAAGCAAATGTTGGATGGCATCTGTCATGGATGCTTTGGCTGAGATTCCTTCCAACTCTTCTATGATTCCTGCACCCTGTGCGTCCACTCTGTGCATCCTCAAAATCTGCTCCAAAGGCTTGGAGTCCTGCTGTAGGAGGAACTCTGCTTGCACTACATTGGATACAACCAATATTTTAAATATTTTTACAGCACATAGAAAAACGCAGGTGCTTTGTGAATAATAAATACGAATAGCATTAGTAGCCAAAGGTACATATTTTGGACATCAGAAAATGCTGCATTCGCCTTACCTTGAAGATTTTTTTAAGCCAACATGATTTCTTAAACACATACACACAAGATAAAATGCTTCAGAACTGTGGTTACCTCATGCTACTGATGGACAAGATTTTTAGTATACTTTACACTGTGCTGAAAAGAAACTGGAATAAATTCCACAACAGCTAATCATCAAGACAGCGACAATAATTTACTGGTGATTATTTGAATAGCGTGAAAAAATCAGATGAGTGCATTTTAAAACATATATGTAATTGGGAAGGCACGACTGGGAATATGTAGGTTGTTGGAGTTGGCCGTATGGCGAGGGATGAGGTAAGTCTTGGAACCAAAACCATGTAGATTGTGACCCTGAACTACTTTCTGCTGCCTATGGCTGAAACTCATCCTGAGCCCTCAGAAGAGCACTGCTCACCTGGCCTCCCTCTGGCTGAGTTGCTGCCTCATCTCAGGATGGAGAAGGGTCTGCTTGGTCTGTGGCAGCTCGGAGGCACAGCCTTGCCACACTGCCTGCTAAATAAATACCTTGAGCTGTTTTTGGAACAACAGCACATGCTTTAAATAAACACATCCACACCACTAAACAAATACTGTCTGCACTAAAGCTATAGGACCACGTCCTTTTTTTTCATAATACGTGCAGCACTGTAACACATCAGATCAAATTCACCAGGAAGCAGCTTTGCTAAAACCCAAATTATATAGAATAATTAACAGAAATAATATCATGAAAATAATTTTATAGCATTAAACAAACACAAACAGTTCTTCCTGTTTTCAATTGCTCACTCTTAAAAAAGCAAAATCCTCATTAAAGGGGTGGGGGACAATGAAGGAAGGGAAATTGTCCTCCAAAACATCCAAGGAGACCTCACTGCTGTTTATGGAGTAAAAAATTTATGATTTGGTCTGGCACTGGAAGAGCATGGATCAGGTGCAGACGACGTTTCCCGAGTGTCCTTCGTACTGCCACGCGGCACAAAGACATCAGGCTCCTAGGGCAGCCTGTGATGCAACACACGAGAAAGAGACAAGGAGAGAAAAAGAAATCAACTGAATACCACAGCAGACCCACAACTCCTAGTCCCACAAACACCTATGCCTAGTTAATACCTTTAGGCTGCATGCAGAAGTGAGAGGTGGACCCAGCTCTAAGCAGAACTTAGGGCTCCTCGCTTTCACCCAGCGAAAACCCACTCTGCAGTGCTGAACTGGTAAAAGGTAAAGGTAAAGGTACCCCTGCCCGTACGGGCCAGTCTTGCCAGACTCTGGGGTTGTGCGCCCATCTCACTTAAGAGGCCGGGGGCCAGCGCTGTCCGGAGACACTTCCGGGTCACGTGGCCAGCGTGACAAGCTGCATCTGGCGAGCCAGCGCAGCACACGGAAACGCCGTTTACCTTCCCGCTAGAAAGCGGTCCCTATTTATCTACTTGCACCCGGAGGTGCTTTCAAACTGCTAGGTTGGCAGGCGCTGGGACCGAGCAGCGGGAGCGCACCCCACCGCGGGGATTCGAACCGCCGACCTTTCGATCGGCAAGCCCTAGGCACTGAGGCTTATCAATCGGGCTTTCTGCTAATTGGGGTTTGCTCCGATTCAGCACTAAAGAGTGGGTTTTCCCAAAAAGTGGAGTAGCAAATGCTCAGTCCCCTGCTTTCTAGGCACGGGACAAGTGGAAGTGTGGAAAAGCCATAAGCAGGGAGAGTTAAGAACTAAGCAGCGACTCTGCAGGAAGGAGCTGGTTGGATATCACTGCTGCTCACAAATCTGCACTAGCTGCCAATTTGTTACCAGGCCATATTCAAGGTGGTACTATTAGTATATAAAAAGTCCTCAGTAGCTTAGGCTCAAGTTTACTTGAAGGATTGCCTTACTTTGTATATGCTACACAACTGCTTTGATCTGAAGAACTGGCACTTTTACACATACTGTATTTTTCGCCCTATAGGACGCACTTTTTCCCCTCCAAAAATGAAGGGGAAATCTGGGTGCGTCCTATGGGGCGAATGCAGGCTTTCGCTGAAGCTTGGAGAGCGAGAGGGGTCGGTGCACACCGACCCCTCTCGCTCTCCAGGCTTCAGGAACACATCCGCAGCCTAGGCAGCCCTGCGGGAGTTCCCGCAGGGCTGTCTAGGCTGCGGATAGCAGCCTGCTTCTCGGAGCGCCGGGCGCGCTGAAAGCAGAGCGCCCGGCGCTTCGGGAACACATCCGAGTTCTCCGCAGGGCTCCCCACGCTGCGGATAGCAGCCTGCCGCCCGGCGGGCGAGGCGCCCTGAAGCAGAGCGCCCCCAGCGCCGGGCATACACCCGCAGCGTGGGGAGCCCTGCAGGAGTTCCCCGCAGGGCTCCCCACGCTGCGGATAGCAGCCTGCCGCCCAGCGGGCGGGGCACCCTGAAGCAGAGCGCCCCTTGCGCCGGGCAGACATCGGCCAGCCCCACAAGCTCGGGGGACAGCAGGGAGGCACAGTGCTGTTCCTCGACCTGGTTCGGTTTCCCCGACCTGCTTTTGGGGGGGGGAATAAAGGGGAAAAATTTTCCTTTATTTCCCCCCCAAAAAAACTAGGTGCGTCCTATGGGACGAAAAATACGGTACTTCATAAGGTTTGTTCTGGACTTGCAAGGAATTGATCATTCAGTGCAGCAGTACCTACAGCTGGAACTCCCTACCCATTGATATTAGGCAGGTACCCTAAGGGAGCAGGTAGCGCTGTGGTCTAAACCACCGAGCCTCTTGGGCTTGCTGATCAGAAGGTTGGCAGTTTGAATCCGCACAATGGGGTGAGCTCCTGTTGCTCTGTCCCAGCTCCTGCCAACCTAGCAGCTCAAAAGCACACAAGTGCAAGTAGATAAATAGGTATCGCTGTGGTGGGAAGGCAAACGGTGTTTCCGTGCGCTCTGGTTTCCGTCACGGTGTCCCATTGCACCAGAAGCGGTTTAGTCCTGCTGGCCACATGACACAGAAAGCTGTCTGTTCCCAGGCCCAACTCAAAGGGCTGGTTCTTACTTGTAAAGACTAAAACAGGTTTTATTGTAGTTGTATCTGTACTGCCTATCAAATTTAATATTATATGGTTTTATTATTATGTGGTATTCTGCACTCTTCTACTTTTAGTAGAAGAGCAGGGTATAAACAGATGATTTATGATGATTATTTAATCCTTATTATCTCAGGGAACATCGCCTACTGCATGACTTCCATGCGCAGAGCTTTTTTTCAGCCGGAACTCACCAGAACTCAGTTCTGGCCCCTCTCAGCTGGGCGCCATGGCCATTCTAAGAGAATGAGGGAGGTGTTCACGGTGAGTTCCGGAACTTCTTTTAATAGAAAAATAGCACTGTCCCTGCCACACCCACCTCTGCAGCACTGATGAGCTCCTCCTCTGAATTCCATCTTATGAGGAGCCTGGATTTGTTTGTTTGTTTGTTTGTTTGTTTGTTTGTTTACAGTAAACAAACTTTATACACCAACTGACCATAGTAAAACCTCTAAAACCTTGTTCACAAGGAGTAGGGCTTCCTTGTAGGGACCCCAGTACTGTGGGTCACAACAAGATTCCTACAGCTTCCTCCCTGCTAACTTGCTGAAAATAGGCAAAAAGATTTCTGTCTCAGTTGGCCTTTGAAAAGGAATTCATTAATTGTTCTGGCTCTAATGTGGATTGTAGCTGTGTTTTCTTTTTTGTTTTTACTGTTTTAGTTAAATTATTTTATTTTATGGGTGTTTTATTAGCTTTTTGTTTGTGTGCTGCTTTTGAAATTCATATGGAAAATTCTATATAAATTACTATAATTATTTAAATGAAAATCATATTCAGATACTATTAAATTTCCATGTTATGTATTAAAAACATTTCCCCATTTTCATCAGTTAAAAAAATCCCCAATGAAAATTTAAACCATCTGACAACCCTAATAGAGGTACTTTCAGTTCACTACGCACTCCTTTTGAAGGGATAGAATATGAATGCCAAAATAACTTTTTCCACTCACTCCTGGCTTCTTTGAACACCTGCAAGGCTTCTGGGTTCACTTTGATCCTTCCTGTAGCTCCTTCTCCCAGAGTCTCCCATTTCACCAGATTCAAGTTGGCACCGAAGTCAATCAAGAGGTTGACAAAAGCCACGTCACACCCATGTCTCAAGACTGCATCCATGACACACACCGCAGAGCCCCTGGAGAAGCCCTGGATGTTGACGGGGCCGCAGGAGTTAAAATCTGGGTTGGCTCCCGCTTGCAGAATCAGCCGGAAGCACGGCAGGTTGTGATAGGCTGCGCTAATGTACAACGGGCAGACCACCAGGGAGGTGAGCGGCCGGGAAGATGGGCTGGGGGTCCCCGAGATCAAATGGTGATTTACATCCACATCAGCGCCATACCTGAGGAAAGAAAATGAAATTCATTGGGAAAGACTATGGCAACCCTGCCTTCATTAAGCTCTTTTGTGGCGGCGAGATGGTGGCTAGGCAAGCTGCAAAATCCAGCCCTGTTGGACTTTATGTGCCTTGGACCAGGAGGGATAGGAATAAAACCTTGTGAAGTCGAGCAGGCGGTGGTCGTCCTCCACCAGATTATGTACCTCTAGCGTTAGGTGAGAGCCAGTGGGGTGCAGTCATTTCTTGCAAGTGTCAGCCTTGGTCCTGGGAGTCAAGGTTCAAATCCCCACTTGGATATGAAGCTTACTGGTTCAGCTTCACCCACCTCACTGGGTTGCTGTGGGGATTAAAGGAGGAGGAGGAAAACCAAGAACGCCACCTTGAGCTCCTTGGAGAAAAAGGTAGGATATAAATGCAATAAATACATAATAGGTGCAATCCTCAGACAACAGATAAAGACAATTCCAACAAGAAAGAAAAGCATGAGGCACTAAAGAAACTGGTGTGGCTGCATAAGGAGCTTGGAGAAGAAATGGAGGAAAGGGGAAATCACAAAGGAGGAGTATACACAAGTAGCACAGTTGCCCAGGGAAGGTCAGGTGGGTCAAAGCTCAAAATGAGCTCAGGCTTGCAAGAGAGGTTAAAAATAATAATAAAAGGTTTCTTTGGCTATGTCCGAAGTAAGATGAGAGTCGAGCAAGTGGGAGGACCTCTGCATGGAGGAGACGGGGAAATGCTACTGGGTGGCAGAGTGAAGGCCTACTTTGCCTCTGTCTTCACCCAAAAGGAAAGCAATGCCCAGCCTGGTGATAACAGAATAAATGATGTAAGGAGGGAGCTGCAGCCCAAGATAGGAAAAGAGGTAGTAAGGGAACACCCAGCTACTTTAAATGAACTTAAGGGCCTGAGGAGCTTCACTGAAGGGTACTAAAGGAGTTTGAGGATGTACTCTCAGAGCTTCTGTCTATAATCTTTGAGAATTATTGGAGAACAGGTGAGGTCCCTGCAGACTGGAAGTGCTGGGTGAGATCCCATGGACAGTAATACTAAAAGGAAAGGGAGTTCAAGATGGCTGGGAGTTTGTTAAGAGGGAGATAGTAAAAGCACAACTTCAGGCAATACCAATGAGACGGAAACATGGAAGGTGCCTAAAGAAGCCAGGGTGGCTATCTAAAGAACTTTTAACTGAGTTAAGATTAAAAAAGGATGTGTACAAAAAATGGAAAGGGGGGGAAACCACCAAAGAGGAATTCAAACAAATAGCCAGCACGTGTAGACACAAAGTCAGAAAAGCTAAAGCACAAAATGAACTCAGGCTTGCTAGAGAGGTTAAAAGCAACAAAAAAGGCTTTTATGGGTATGTCCGTAGCAAAAGGAAGAACAAAGAAACCGTGGGGTCACTCAGAGGAGAAGATGGTGAAATGCAAACAGGGGACACAGAAAGGGCTGAACTCCTCAATGCCTTCTTTGCCTCAGTCTTCTCCGATAAAGAAAACAATGCCCGACCTGAAGAATTTGGAGCAAATGATTCAGCAGAGGAAACACAGCCCAGAATAACTAAGGAGATAGTACAAGAATACTTGGCTAGTCTAGATGTATTCAAGTCTCCAGGGCCAGATGAACTGCATCCAAGAGTATTAAAAGAACTGGCAGATGTGATTTCAGAACCACTGGCAGTCATCTTTGAGAATTCCTGGAGAACAGGCGAAGTCCCGGCAGACTGGAGGAGGGCAAATGTTGTCCCTATTTTCAAAAAGGGGAAAAGAGAGGACCCAAATAATTACCGCCCAGTCAGTCTGACATCAATACCAGGGAAGATTCTGGAGCAGATCATTAAGCAAACAGTCTGTGAGCACCTAGAAAGGAATGCTGTGATCACCAATAGTCAGCATGGATTTCTGAAAAATAAGTCATGTCAGACTAACCTGATCTCGTTTTTTGACAGAATTACAAGCCTGGTAGATGAAGGGAACGCAGTGGATGTAGTCTACCTTGATTTCAGCAACGCATTTGACAAGGTGCCCCATGATATTCTTGTAAAGAAGCTGGTAAAATGCGGTCTTGACTATGCTACCACTCAGTGGATTTGTAACTGGCTGACTGACCGAACCCAAAGGGTGCTCATCAATGGTTCCTCTTCATCCTGGAGAAGAGTGACTAGTGGGGTGCCACAGGGTTCTGTCTTGGGCCCGGTCTTATTCAACATCTTTATCAACGACTTGGATGATGGACTCAAGGGCATCCTGATCAAATTTGCAGATGACACCAAACTGGGAGGGGTGGCTAACACCCCAGAGGACAGGATCACACTTCAAAACGACCTTGACAGATTAGAGAACTGGGCCAAAACAAACAAGATGAATTTTAACAGGGAGAAATGTAAAGTATTGCACTTGGGCAAAAAAAATGAGAGGCACAAATACAAGATGGGGGACACCTGGCTTGAGAGCAGTACATGTGAAAAGGATCTAGGAGTCTTGGTTGACCACAAACTTGACATGAGCCAACAGTGTGACGCGGCAGCTAAAAAAGCCAATGCAATTCTGGGCCTCATCAATAGGAGTATAGCATCTAGATCAAGGGAAGTAATAGTGCCACTGTATTCTGCTCTGGTCAGACCTCACCTGGAGTACTGTGTCCAGTTCTGGGCACCACAGTTCAAGAAGGACACTGACAAACTGGAACGTGTCCAGAGGAGGGCAACCAAAATGGTCAAAGGCCTGGAAATGATGCCTTATGAGGAACGGCTAAGGGAGCTGGGCATGTTTAGCCTGGAGAAGAGGAGGTTAAGGGGTGATATGATAGCCATGTTCAAATATATAAAAGGATGTCACATAGAGGAGGGAGAAAGGCTGTTTTCTGCTGCTCCAGAGAAGCGGACACGGAGCAATGGATCCAAACTACAAGAAAGAAGATTCCACCTAAACATTAGGAAGGACTTCCTGACAGTAAGAGCTGTTCGACAGTGGAATTTGCTGCCAAGGAGTGTGGTGGAGTCTCCTTCTTTGGAGGTCTTTAAGCAGAGGCTTGACAACCATATGTCAGGAGTGCTCTGATGGTGTTTCCTGCTTGGCAGGGGGTTGGACTCGATGGCCCTTGTGGTCTCTTCCAACTCTATGATTCTATGATTCTATGATTCTATGATTCTATGACTGCAGGTGGGCACCTGCTGTCCCCATCTTCAAAAGGGGGGAGGGAGAGAAGGTCCAGGTAGCTACCAACCAGTGAGCTTGACATCAATACCTGGAAAGGTCCTAGAAAAGATAATTAAACATTTAGTATGTTAGCACTCAGAAATGCATGCTGTGGTTACAAAGACCCAGCATGGGTTTCTGAAAAATAAGTTATGCCAGACAAATCTCTTTTTTTTAACAATAGAGTTAGAAGCTTGGTGGGTCAGGGGAATGCTGTGGACATAGTGTGTCTTGATTTCAGTAAGGCTTTTGACAAGTTCTTCATGATATTCTTGTGAAGAAGCTGGTAAAACGTGGGTTGAATAAGGTAACTGTTAGGTGAATTTGTAACTGGTTGACTGACTGATCCCAAGGAGCGCTCCTTAAAGGTTCCTCATCATCCTGGGAAAATGTGACAAGTGGGGTGCCGCAGGGTTCTGTTCTGGGCCTGTTGTTGTTCAATGTCTTTATAAACGACTTGGATGAAGGAACTGTGGGGGTGTTCATCAACTTTGCAGATGACACTAAACTGAGAGGGGTAGCCAGAAGACAGAATCAGAATTCAAAGTGACCTTAACAGATTGGATAACTGGGCCCAAGCTAAAATAAAATGAATTTCAATAGGGACAAACAACAGGTTCTACATTTAGAACCAGCTGTACCAATATACGATGGGGGACACCCAGTCAATAATACATGTGAAAAGGAGGTCTTAGCAGAACACAAGCTTAACATGAGTTAGCGTGATGCAGCAGGTTACATCAACAATAGCATAGATCCTGATCAAGGGAAGTAATAGTCTTATTTTACTCTGCCTTGGTCAGAACACACATGGAATGCCGTATCCAGTTCTGGTTACCCCAGTTTAAGGAGAATATTGACCAGCTGGAACATGTGCAGAGGAGGGCGATCAAGGTGCTCAAGGCTCTGCCAACCAAATCTGATGAGGAACTGTTGAAGGAACTGGGTATGTCTAGCCTGCAAAAAAGGAGACTGAGGAGATATGACAGCCGTCTTCAAATATCTCAAGGTCTGTCACATGGAGGATGAGCAAGCTTATTTTCTTCTGCACAGGAGAGTAGGAACTGAACCAGTGGATTCAAGTTACTGAAACATCAGGAAGAACTTTCAGACAGTAAGAGCTGTTTGGCAGTGGAACGGACTCCCACGAGAGGTGGTGGACTCTCCTTCCTTGGAGATCTCCTTCCTTCCTCTCCTTCCTTGGAGATTTTTAAGCAGAGGTTGGATGGCCATCTGTCATGGATGCTTAACTGAGAATCCTGCATTGCAGGGAGTGGACTAGAGGACCCTTGGAGTCCCTTCCTACTCTACAGTTCTACGATTCTCTGACTATAACTGCATCATCAAATGCTGCTCTCGGTTGCTATCCTGGCTCCCTGTTCAGGCTGGATTTTTCTTCAGCCGTCTGGCCACCTTGCCCTCTTTGCCTCTCACTGCACTGACGATTCCTGTCTCTCCCTCTTCAGTTTCAGAAGCTACAAATTCACATGAGCATCAGGGTGAGGCAAAGAGGCTTTGTAAAATCCCTCTCTAAAGGTAGTGCCAATTAAATCTGCTTTTCACCGCATGTGGTTACAGACAAGAATATATATCTGCCAAGTAGCCAGCTTGCTAGTTGCTAGGATAGCTTTCACATGGCAAGATGGAAACAGAGAGTGTTTAGCAATATTCAGAATGCAAACTATGAAAGCCAAGACTCCAGAGATGTGCTGGTGCGAAAGAATTGTGCCGCCCTCTGTGGGAAAACTGGGGGAAAGCCCGGACTGAGCTCTCCCCGACTAAAATGAAAAATCACATATGCTATCCTGACTGTTTTGGGAAGCAAAGGTTGTCTAAAATGTGGCCCAATAGAGGAGAGGGATGAGGGGACACAGATTCCTTAAAAGAGCCAGTCCTATTGGACTGCAGAAGCACAGAACCAGAAGTTACTAAAGGTATTCCAGCCAATCTCCTGCCTCAATTAAGTACAGTTCTCCCAATGCATGGATCACCCCCTCAGTGCAGGCCACAGTATGCCATATCCATAACTTAAGGGAGATTTCGGAAGAATTTAGGTTAAGTGTTAACAAAATCCTTCAGCATTTATTACTGATGAGATCATGAGGTTTGAGATTCTGCCCTGTAATGTATTTTGAATCCTTCCTGGGCAACCCAGTCAGGTGGGCGGGATATAAATAATAAAATTATTATTGTTATTCCTTCCCACTCCCAAAAATAGGTGTGGGCCAGGGGTCAACCTAAAGCAAATTCACAGTCATGCAGTGTCTCAGTATTCAGGAAAGAGGCTGCATTAAAAGGCATATTACACCTTTCCTGGCCTTGTTGGAAATGAGTGCAGGGGTCAAGCTGATGCTGTTTTGAAATGGGAAATTGGTGGCTGCAATGTATACAGTAACTTTAGCTTCTGATATCTGAATATTGACCACAACCATAGAATTCCCACAAGGGAGTCATTGCTAAGTCAATAAAAAAGTCAAAGCACACGAGCAGCTCAGCTTTCAGCAGCGGGAGCTGCAATAGGCCTTGGCTAGATTCTCTGGGCTGGACTCACACGTCTTCCCTAACTAGAAGTGAGCAATGGCTAAGAGACTGGGCTGTGAGACGGCTGGTTCAATTCTTACTACAGCCATGAACTCACAAGACGGTTTTAGGTAAGCCTCTGCCTTTTGCCTTCAGTCCCCCTACCTGCTACCGTGGTACCTCAGGTTAAGTACTTAATTCGTTCCAGAGGTCCATTCTTAACCTGAAACTGTTCTTAACCTGAAGCACCACTTTAGCTAATGGGGGCCTCCTGCTGCTGCCGCGCTGCCAGAGCCCAATTTCTGTTCTTATCCTGAAGCAAAGTTCTTAACCTGAAGCACTATTTCTGGGTTAGCGGAGTGTGTAACCTGAAGCGTATGTAGCCCGAGGTACCACTGTATATGCACATAATAATAACAACACTACTAGAGGACTGTTTTAGATAATGCATATTAAGTACTTTGAATATTAGAAGTACTCTATTAATATGAAGTAGTAGTATTACTGTGCTGATCTTCCTCCTCCATCCCATACCAACTCATGGGGGAGAGAGGGGGGAATTGGGGGTGCCACTGAGGTAGCCCCATTTTTGGTCGCTTACCACTTGTCCTGGCTCTTTGACAGACTGTTCCAGTGCTGTCAACTCACACAAACACCAACAGCATTTCCAAACTTGTTGCCTTCTAGAGATCTCCTCATATGACTTTCACTATTGACAGACACAAAGATGCACACACCTTCAGGAAACCAACCTTTTGTGATAATAACGGTTGGCAGAGTAGAAAAGCATGGACAGCAGCAGCAAACAGAGGAGGAGGGAAATAGCAGCTCGTCAAATAAATGGCCAAGTATTCGTTTTCTGTTTATTGCTAGATAGATCTCAAAGAGCTGAGCAGGATTTCAAAGCTATCACTGAGAGCAACATGTTTGTTTGAAATGTAAATCCTGCAGACTAGTTGCGCTTGCCAAGGCAAAAGTCACCAGAAGCAGAGCAGTTGTGTTTGGCTCTGCTGTAACCAGGAAGGGGATTCCACTCTAAGCAGAGTCTCCAAATGTCCCTATGGAGTAATTATATGACTTAGGAATAACTTTCCCTTCCCATCCAAACAGCCTAAGAATGAGGTTCTGCTTTCCTAATTATATATTTCCATTCTACCTCCACTCCCTGGTTAATAAGGAAAGGGTGATATTATTCTGTGCCAGGTTTGTGGGGGAAAGTCCTGGTTATGTCTGTATGTAGAACTTACTAGTCATTGCGGAGCTGGAAAATACCACTTTGAAGAACACAGACAATTCCCTGTGAAGTCAGTCAGCACTATCTGCAGGCTCAGAGACTAGTCAGGCCACATAAAATTATGGGGTGGCACATGGTCTGCTTACAGTTTTTGTTTTCTGATTTGGCCTTTCAGGAGAGGGAATTCTCCAGAACCCTTTCACATGATGAGGAAAGAGCCTCCGACTCATGAAATGGCTGTTCTACCTGATAGAATCCTAGAACCGTGGAGATGGAAGGGACCCCAGTCATAAAGTCCAACCCCATGCAATGCTGGAATCTTAGCTAAAAGCATCCATGGCCTCTCATGCCAGAGTGTTGCCCATGAAAAGGCTGACAAGTGAAACTTAATCTGTAAGATGTTTTCTGATTCTGTAAGAGTGTTTGAAAGGATAAGAACTGCTGTAGAGCTTGTCAGTTTGAGCAACACTTGCCCAAGTAATTGCAAAGCAGTGGTAGTGGCTATTTGCTTTCTGCTCATCCTGGATTTTCAGCTCCAACTGTTTTTGTTTTGCAATTTAATTTTGAAAACATCTAAGAACGGCCTACTGAATCTTGCTGTGAACCTTATTTCTCACCACCCCAAATAAAAAATGGTGTCCCTGCTTCTGAATGGCTGTCAGGAGACAAATCCGATGTGAACCTGGAAAGTTGTATTGCAGTTTAGAATCATAGAATCATAGAATCATAGAGTTGGAAGAGACCACAAGGGCCATCGAGTCCAACCCCCTGCCAAGCACTCCTGACATATGGTTGTCAAGCCTCTGCTGAAAGACCTCCAAAGAAGGAGACTCCACCACACTCCTTGGCAGCAAATTCCACTGTCGAACAGCTCTTACTGTCAGGAAGTTCTTCCTAATGTTTAGGTGGAATCTTCTTTCTTGTAGTTTGGATCCATTGCTCCGTGTCTGCTTCTCTGGAGCAGCAGAAAACAGCCTTTCTCCCTCCTCTATGTGACATCCTTTTATATATTTGAACATGTTTAGTTTAGTTGAGGGATGGGAAGCAGAAGCTCCCCTATTCACTTCTCAGACCTAATATTTTTTTTTCTGCCCAGACACATGAAAAGCCATCTCAGATAAACCATGTACTCTGTGAATTGGAAATGGGGACGCAGGTGTACTTTCAGTGTAGCTGCATGCATTGCTAAACTAGGGCATGTGTCAGATGGATGGTTTATCATGTTCCCAGGTCAAAAATGTTGGAGAGATGTTCTAACATAGGACAGTCCCTTCCCCCCCAAAAGTAAATTTGCTTAGGTCATAATTTTTAGGGTCAAGCTAGACTGGATGTGGAATTTTGTTTGCTTGCTTTAGCAGCTGGGCATATGTATGTATCTGTATTTTACTGGACGAGTGCATTTTCTGTAGTATGAGTGGCATAACTGATATTTTAAGCTTTCCACAAAGCAATTTAAACTGATTAATAGCTGTATTTCAACTTGACAATCTGGTATTAGCATAGTCATCATGATAGAGAAATTATTTAATGAGAAGATATTGGCCAGGGTCAGTTAATTTTAAACTTGAAAGCTTTCCAAAGTCTACATTTAATATTGCTGGCCAAGAGTCCTTGCAGCAGAAGTATAAATCTGCACACCATCACCTTACACCAAAAGGGCTCTTGCTTCATAAATTCATATAGATCATGGAGATGCAATAAACCTTGGATGTGGTTCTGACATGTGGGTCTGCCACCATCACATGTGGTTTGGCTCACAGAACTGAATGGCTCAGCTGCCTCCACTGCGACATGACACTTCAAACATCAGCTTTTCAGGTCTGTATACAGAAAATTTTATGTGTACACCTAACTAAGTAAAGTGGTGCTCAATTAATGAGTGTTTAAGAATGTGTATCTATCTTATCTATTGTAGGCATTTATCTCCCACCCTTCAACAAGTTTATCGGAAGGCACACCTATTAGAGACTTGGGATTGGTGGTATGAGTGGCTCTTGAGTACACACTAGGTGGCAATCCCAGGGGTTATTTGTTTGTTTGTTTGGCTCTGGACGTATTTGCCCTAGAATGCCAACTCTTTATCTGCCTTCAGACCCCAGGTTAAGGCAATGTGTTATTGGTGAAGGCTGTAATCTGTCTGGTTCCCATACCAGGGGTTGTTTCTGGCTTTGTTGCTTCTCTCTTTGAATTTTGCTGGCTACAATTTCATTGTAGTGGTGAGACATATTTTTAACCATTTTTGATGTTTTTATGACTCATTCATTACCAGCTGCCTTGAGGGTGGAGAGGTGGGGTCAAAATGGGACTTTTAAGTGTTTAACTTTGGCAAGAGAGAAGATGGAAAGCCAGACCTTCAAGAGGGGACATGAAGGGCTTTGACCTGCAATCCCTGTTCCACAGGTCAGCCATCAGCATGTGATGTTGCAGCTGCTGGGTGAATAACTCATATATGTTCTTATTCTCAGAATGGTCAGGAAGGGAAGAATAAAAGTGTGCCGTCTTGAGCACGTTTTTGTCAGAATGGTAACACATTAAATTTTGCAGAGAAGAAAAAGAAGAAGTGTAGATATTTGAAAGGATTCTGAATTTCTCCTACCCTAAAAATGGAATTCTCAAGTCTTTCCATTTTCTGAGGACCCTCCCCCAACTCTGCCTATCTTCTTTCACTGACAATTGCTGCCTGTTGGAATTGGACAACTCAGAAACCTTTCCGTAGCAAACATACCCTATTTGGCTGACCGGCAATTGGCTCCTGGGCAAAGATGAAGCAAAATCACTCTGCACTCACCTGATCAGCTCTCTCAGGATGTCCGTGCTCCCTACCCGGGCAGCATGATACACTGGGGTGCTGCGGTGGTGACGGCTCCCATTGGGGTCAGCTCCGGCTTGCAGAAGGATCTGTGCGCATTCCAGATGCCCATTCACAACAGCTACATACAGGGCAGTTTGCCCTTTCACGTCCACAAGATCAATCTCTGCCCCTTTCTGAATCAGGAAATCCACACAGTTTCCATGTCCTGCCGTGGCAGCAATCCGCAGCGGTGTACAAGGCAGCCAACCACAACACCACACGGATTTCTCATTGATGCGGCTGAAGAAAGCAAAAGCAGCACAACTAAGTAATCCATGAGCGTGCCTGGATCTTGCCTTGCTTCCCCCTGTGAGCATGCACTGTTCTCTTTCTGGATTCTTTCCCTGGATGTCCTATGTTATCCATAACAACAATTTTCTGACAGCGTGGGAACAAAATCACATCTAAATAAGATATATAAGGCACAATCACATGCAGCCTTTGCTAACCTGCCACTCTTCAGTTGTTTTGGATTACGATTCCAATCAGCCCTGTCCAGTATCCATTTGATGCAAACAGTCTGTCACTGACTGCACACATGCATGCCCAAACCTATATGCAACCCCAGCTTAGATACATACACCCAGAATGCCTGAATAATTCTTACAGGAAGGCTGCCCATAATCTGAACTCTACAAAATGGACAGTACAGATCTGATAGATGGAATAAATGTGCAGATGGAACCTGGAACATACAGAGCCCAGGAGGAGGATCAGCAGGAGATCCCTATCTTCATACATCCCTTTGAACCCTCAGTGCTCCTCACTGACTATTTGCATGAGGCTAAAATGTAAAGGTAAAGGTAAAGTTACCCCTGCCCGTACGGGCCAGTCTTGCCAGACTCTAGGGTTGTGCGCCCATCTCACTCAAGAGGCCGGGGGCCAGCGCTGTCCGAAGACACTTCCGGGTCACGTGGCCAGCGTGACATCGCTGCTCTGGCGAGCCGGAGCCGCACACGGAAACGCCGTTTACCTTCCTGCTAGTAAGCGGTCCCTATTTATCTACTTGCACTTTGGGCATGCTTTTGAACTGCTAGGTTGGCAGGCGCTGGGACCGAGCAACGGGAGCGCACCCCGCCGCGGGGATTCGAACCGCCGACCTTTCAATCGGCAAGCCCTAGGCGCTGAGGCTTTTACCCACAGCGCCACCTGCTAAAATGTACTCAGGGCTAAAGTGTTTGATTTATCACCTGAGAATCCATGCTCCATTTCAGTAAAATTGAGAGCTACCTTTGGAAGCTCTCTTCCTCCAACAGGTTTTTAATGGTTTGCAAGTCTCCCACATAAGCGGCATCATGCAGTCGGGTGTCCTCACAGTGCTCGATGGGGCGGTCACAGAATTGTTCCTTCAGCCACTCCTTCAGATTGCGACCTGTGCTGGAGAGATTGTTGCTGCTTTAGGTCATAAAACTCAGCAGGAGCTCAGCCCTGACCAGGAGGTTCTGCTATGGTCACTGGAGTAACCCACTGCGGATGAGAAAGAAGCAGGGCCACAAGAGAGGCCTTAACCACAGTTAACTTTTGCTCAGGTCTGTGCTTTCAAGCTCCATATCCAACCGCTCTTTCTTTCGCCCCAAAACATTCTCTGTAAAAACCCACTCTTTAAAGCTGAAGCACAACCAATGGCAATCCAGGTTTTCTATGAATTGCTGTTTGCTCTGATTCAGCAGTAAAGACACAGAGCTTTAAAGCACAGACCATGCCTGGAAAGCACAGAGGAGAGGTAAGTGTGGAGAAGCCCTGCATCAGAGAGGGTCAGGTGGGGCCTGAGATATTTTCAACCTCTTTGAGACCCTGTACAGACTGGTTGTTGCTTTTTCCAGATATTTGAAGGTCATGTGGCAGGACTATTTTGCCCTCAAGTATAAGATGTTCTTTCATAGGTTTTATAGGTTGGGAAGAAAATAGCTAAAACGTCAGCAAAACCTATTTGACAAGAGACCATTGTGGGACATAGCACTATCCTACTGTCTCCAAACGTCCGAATAATTATTGTTTACAATCATCCAATATGTCCTGAAAACAAATGCCTTTGCATGCAGCGAACAGGTGTTCGAGCCACTTACGGTCACATTTAAAAATATCAAAGATTTGTAAAGTTGCCTAACATGTTTCATAATATGGCTCCTCCATTATACCCAGCCAAATAGGCATGAGGCAAAATGTCCCTAGATATATTCTGAGCAGTCTCCTTTGCTCAAGGACTCCTTGAGATGTGACCTAGCACAATGCAGACAAAAGATACTTGTAACATACAAAGTGCTTTGTGATGTTTAGAGTTGTTACCTAGCTTGGAGCTTCAGAACAAAAATAAATGAACACAATCATCTGGCACTCCTTCCCTACAGGATCAAGATACAAATAAACAGGTTCAACAAAACCAGTTTTCAGTTGAATTATATCAGCAACTACCTACAGAAAACAGGGAAACTAACATAATTAGACACCAGCAATCGAGTCCTAATTCTCTCACTGAGATTGTAAACCTATATTTGGAGTGTTTTCCTTCAGGTTGGGGCTTCAAACTCATACAGACTGCAATACAAAGACTTATCTATCACCACATCATCTAGAAAACAACATGAAAAGTTAGTTTAGTAACTATGTATAAGAACCTGTGATGAAATCTGTTATTAACATTTTCTGGGAATCCCAGGAAGTAAAGCAAACATGAATTAAGAATAATTGCTTGCTGCATTAAAAGCCACAATCTTCAAACCCATTTGCTAGAATGACTGAGAACAACTGTGCGGCCTGGGAATCCATTAGCAGACAATTACATTTCTTCCCCAAACAAGTCACTGTGATCTGATTAGGTGAAATTAAATTATAATTGCATGTGTAAGATTCAGAGATATTTGCCTGTTAAATATTCTGAAGGTATTCTGTAACATATCCTACTAATAATACAATGTTGTCTCTCTCTTTCCCCCCCCCCTCTCTCTCTCTCTCGTGTGTGTGTGTGTGTGTGTGTGTGTGTGTTTTGCTGGTGTTATAGAGTGCCTTTTTCAAAAAAGGAAAATATCTGTAGATGTTCAAGACAGTAAAGTGCTTTAAATTTGCTCATGAAAGTTCATCTCAGCAAAGCCCCAGATATACACAGAAAAGCCTGTTTGAAGCATTTCCACACACAAACGCTCATAGGACATTCCTTGCTTCCTGTATTTGGGTGACTGCTATCACTGGGGTGAGGAAGCAGATTCTGTACTCACACTACTATGTCTCCCAATTTACCCTTTGAATATACTAAGAGTAAAGAACTGTGCTTAGTTAAATTTGTATCTTTTCTTTCCACCACACTGAACACTATTGCAATGAGGGTAAAACCCAAGAAGGAGTGGCAAGGGCTTCTGTATTGCTGGTATATGCATTCAGCACTCAGTGTTTGTAGAAAATCAAAGCAGCACCAATGGGCGTAGCCCGGATTTTTGTTAGCGGGGAACAGAACCTTGGATTTATATTGATTTTTATTAATTTTGATTATGGGGGGGGGAGCCTGCCCTCCCGGCTACGCCCATGGCACCACCATTATCCCTATTTTACCGAAACAAATAGCAGGGGAGACGGAGCAACATTTCCCCCAGATTCATCTGGCAGCTGAGCTAAGAATACAGGTCACTTGATGTCCCAGCCCCCAAAAGTGACCACAGTCCCCAGCAGAGTGTTTCCAAAAAGAAAAAAAGCACAAGCTCTTTTTTTGAAAGCACTGGCTTTTGCATACAACCTGCTTACTTTTATCAAATGCTGTCCAGTAGATCATGGTGAGGATAAAAAAGCTAACTAGTTATATTAGCAAGGCTATTTCCCACGATCAGTGAATAACTACTAAAAATCACGCGCAAACAATCCCTCCCTCGCTGAGCCTCAAAAGAGAAGCGTGAGGGACCAGAAGTAACAGGTTGTAAATAGGAGCAAGATGCGCACTGGATGCACCTCGAATGCGCAGGGCGCCGCTTAAGTCTCTTGGAGATCCTGGTAAATTTAAGCAGAAACCTGTTTGGTTTAGTTTGTTCAGCCTTTTCCAAGTCCGCTCTGATAGTCGGGTGGGTGGAAAATTCAGTATCGGAATAAATATGCACCACTTCCTGGAAAGAATCCTGCATGTCAGCAGCTGACACGAAGGAATGAACCCATACACACAAACACACAGACACGCGTTTGACTCTTTTTAGCGTGTCAGATCCCCCTGGGAGGAAGACGTTACCTGCCTGGCCCCGCGCGGCCCCCGGAGGAGCCCCTGGGGCTCCGGGGCTTCCCTCGGCCTCTCCCGCCGGCCTCGCCTCGGCCATCAGCCCCGCAGGGAGCGCGGCCTGGCCGGCCTCTCCGGCTGCCTCCTCCCGGCGCCGCCTTCGCTCTCGCCCCATTGGCCGAAAGGCCACCACGCCAGGGCTTCCCGCTTCGCCTTAAGGTGGTTCGCCGAAGTCTTTCCCCTCTGGGTTTCGCGTGGGGTCGGAGCATGAAAGGCTAAAGCGTTTGGGGGCTCGATGGGTTTCCGTTTTTAAAAGATGCCCGAGAGGAGACGGGATAGAGGCCGGTCAAGTTGCAAGAACTCTGCCTTTTGGAGGGGCTGCGCCTGCCCTGCGGAACTCCCTGCCTCGTGACACCAGGCCGGCGCCCTCGCTGCGCTCCTTCCTGAGGCGCCTGCTTAAAAAAATATTCCTGTTTAGACAGGCTTGCCCAGATGATTAGAAAGCTGGTGTGAATGTCAATCTATTTTAGCTCCTGTGTTTGCTTGTAAATTTCTGACAATTTTATTGTTTTATCTTTTTGGGGGGAAACCGCTTTGAAGTTTTCTTTTGTTTTACAATCAAGCAGTGTATAACTTACAATGAAGCACTGTATAACAGTGTATGAAACAAACATTAATAACGTGAATACAGAATCGTTTCTCTTTCAGAACACTAGAAAGCCAGTGAGACTGATGGGCAGTAGATTCAGGACAGAGGTGCCAGCTGCCAGGAACCCTGCGTGCCCAAGCAGCCACAGATTTGCCCGTGAAGGAGCTGGGCACCCACAGATTTTGGTGCCAGGGCCACTCACGTGTCATGGCGCCCACAGTCGCAGGGCAAAGTTGGCACTCCTGATTCAGGACAGGTAAAAAGAAACTACTTCTTCCACACAGTCCATATGCATGGAGTTCACTCGCACCTGATGTGGTGATGACTACACAGTTAAATGGTTCTAAAGGGGATTTGACAAATTTGTGAAGGTGAAGCCGATTGAAGGCAATTGGTCCCAGTAGCTAAATGGAACATTCATGTTCAGAAGCAGCACACCTCTGGCAGAATGCCAGTTGCTGTGTGTGTGTGTGTGTGTGTGTGTGTGTGTGTGTGTGTGTCTGTCAAACAACAGGGTTAACAAACCTGACGGCCCTTTAGGTACCGTATTTTTTGCTCTAGAAGACTCACTTTTTCCCTCCTAAAAAGTAAGGGGAAATGTATGTGCATCTTATGGAGCGAATGCAAGCTGCGCAGCTATCCCAGAAGCCAGAACAGCAAGAGGGATTGTTGCTTTCACTGCACAACAATCCCTCTTGCTGTTCTGGCTTCTGAGATTCAGAATATATTTTTTTTCTTGTTTTCCTCCTCCAAAAACTAGGTGCGTCTTGCAGTCTGGTGCGTCTTATAGAGCGAAAATACGGTATTTGAAGGTAGCGGATCCCAGACTCTGGAACTCCTACCCTGGAGAAGCAAGACTGGCTGCCACCCTCTTTGCTGTCCTTCTGCCAGCAGATGAATATATTGTTTTTACTGTATTGTATTTTTATTATCAAACACTGCTGTGTAATCTGATGGATGAAAAGGAGTCTATAATTTTTAAAAAGAAAAAAAGTGGGAACTCTGATTATACTTTCCTGCACAGTAGGAAATCTGTATACATATGGGGTCTTATTACCTCAAGCCATGCTTTCAAACTATAATAAAATAAATGTGTTGTAAGTTGTTTGGAGAGCTGTGTGTAATAAATAATAAATTATGATAAACTTCCAACAACTAAAATGCTGTGTAAAAAATAAGCCAGACAAATGGAAGAGAAATCTGCATGTTTTTGTAGCACTGCAAGATTTATATTAGATTTAAAAAAAAAATAGACTAACAATTCTATAAGCGTGTCTTAAGTTTTTGTTACCTGTTGTTTTGTACAAAATACACAGAACTTTAGAGAAAGTAAACACAGCATTATCCACAGCTTCTTGTCAATGTTTGCTTTCACTGTGGTTGCTGGTCCATTCCACAAGCCCATCAACAACATCTGGAAAATCTAGAGGGCTGTTTTAGACGGGGAACAGGCATTGTTCAGGTGTGGCAGACGGCCTGCCTGCTTTTTTCTGTCTCTGTGTGTTTGTGTAAGAGAATGCTTGCTTTGCTTTTGCTTTTCTCTTCTCTTCAGAACAGCTGTTGAGCTTTTGTGTGAAAGAAAAGTTGGGCATAAAAAGTGGTGGGATGATTCCATTTCAAATTTAGACCAGGCTCAGTTATGCTCTCTGAAAAACCAACCAGTTTGAACAAAGAGAAAGAGCAGAGATGGATACAACACAGAAGCTCACACCAAAAGGCTAACACAACAGAGTGTTTCCCAAACTTCCTTCTCACTAGATACAAATCTTGTTTTAAACTGCCACTTTCCTCCTTTCAACGTCACCTCATTCATTCTAGCGGTCAAACTGCTTCTGGTTTAAAATGGTAATTCCCCCTTCAGTTGTTTAAAACCTGCTGCGTCGATTGTGATGCGACATTACAGATCCTCCAGTGAGGGCTGTGCGATGACCACCTCAAGTTTTTCCATAAATAGGAATAAATATATCCCAGCTTTCCTCCAATGAGCTCAAAGTGGCACATATGGTTCTCCTCTTTCTGTTTTCTCCTGCAAGGTATATGGTAGGTTGAGAGACAGTGACTGCCCCAGGTCACGTAATGAACTTCACGGCTCAGCGGGGATTTGAACCCGGGTCTATCAGGTCTCAGGCCAACATTCTGACCACTACACCACACTTGCCATGTGTGCTTGGTTGCAGCACACAAGGTGCTCATGAGTTTATTTGGCTTGTAAATGTGTCATTGGCCCAAATAGCTTGGTAATGCCTGGTTGGAGGTGTGAGCGATGTTGAGAAGACCTCACACCATTCACACAGAGTGTGAGAGAGGGCTGGATCATGCCCCCTGGACACTCCCCCCAAAAAACCGCTGCATGTGTGTGGTGTCATTGAAGCCCCACATTTATAAATGCAGGAAGCTGACTGGCCAGCATTTGGTTTAGATGGAGGAGTGCCCCCCAGGAGCTGGAGTCTGGGCCTTGCCCTCCCGGCCAGGTGGAAAAGACCTTGCAGCAGGGAGTAAGTGCCCCAGCAGTCACCATGCAACAAAACGACACCACCACAAACTGGCTTATAAGTATAAAACCAAATTTACTAGAATAATAACTACAATAGAGATAGACTTGTAACCATTCGAGGGTAGCACACTTCATCAGTCCGAAAAGCCAGTCATACAAAACAGTTTGCTCAGGATAAAGAAAGTATTCACAGGCACAGCGTGCAGCAAAACCTGTAATATATCCTGAGAATAGGTCTCCTTTTGCCCACTTGCTTTGTGTTTCCAACTCAAGACCTATTGAAGAACATCTCATCCAGTTCAATCTTTGAAAAAGAGCTTTGAAAAACTTTTCCATATTCTCCAGTGGTCTACCCTTGCCATTGTGGCAGCATGGGGTTGCCGTTCTGTCATTGGACTTATGCTACTTGTTGAACGGTTCATTTATCCAGTCTGTACAGTGGTACCTTGGCTTACATATGCTTCAGGTTACAGACTCCGCTAACCCAGAAATAGTACCTCGAGTTAAGAACTTTTGTTTCAGGATGAGAACAGAAATTGTGCTCCGGCGGCACGGCGGCAGCAGGAGGCCCCATTAGCTCAAGTGGTGCTTCAGTTTAAGAACAGTTTCAGGTTAAGAACAGACCTCCAGGATGAATTACGTTCTTAACCCGAGGTACCACTGTATAACGTTTATTGCACATGTACCGGTAACTTATTACGATACAGTTGTACATTTATCCACTCCATGTTTACAGTATCTCCAGGCTTTGTTTTGCACATGGCACCTTAGTATGTTTGTTGCTTGAATGGTTTACAAGTCTATCTGTATTCTAGTTATTATTCCAGTAAATTTGGTTTTATACTTATAAGCCAGTTTGTGGTGTTGTTGTTTTGTTGCGTTATTATTATTGTCACCACATTTGATACTTTGTGTATATACTTTGTTTATATAAACAGTCTTCTTTCTCATTTTATTGGCTTTCAAAAATAACTACAATCCAAACACCACTATTCATAGAAAAAATATGTCATTTAATTATTATATATAAAAAGAAAATAAATTTATAATACAAATTATATTTAGGCTGTACATTTTTACTCACATACAGAAAATGCTGGATTCTTCTAACACAAACAGTTTTAACCATATATACAGATCCACACTTAAATGTGATGGGATTTTTTCAATGCTGAATTCAGTCCTATATACAATTGCATGCATTTTGAAAAGACTGCAGCTGAAAACAGTTCAGCACTTCTGCTGATGCTTTTAAAGACATTTTCCCCAAATTAACTTCTAATATCCCTTTCCAAATATGACAATCATACCATATACTAAGGCTCTGTAGTTACTTTGAAATATATGCAAAACATTTGTTGTAGTAATTTTGGGATGGCTTCTTTATAAAGGCAGCGGGAACCATTCAGTCAAAAACTCTACTAGACAGCACACAAATCATATACACTCCTCAATAAGGGCTTAGACTGTTATCCTAAGCTGTGTTATTTCTTAGAAGTAAATGTCATTACTTCCAAATGTTTTGATCAGACTGATCAGTCAGACTGATAAAGTGCACACAATTTATTAAATAGCTTGCTAAACTATTGCGACACGGCATTTTTCTCCAAGCCTTAAACATTTCTGAGACTTCTCAGTCAATAAGCACAAGGTTTCAAACCATATCCCACATTACATTTCTCCTGTGCAACATCTAGAAACCCATAAGAAATATAATTTTATGAGAAAATGGAGAGATGGTAGATATGCAAACGAAGAGACCATGAGATTTCTCAAATCCAATCCACCGGGGGTGGGGGGGTGGGGAATGGAAACTTGAATCACATTCACTTAAATAATGGTGTAGCTTCAAAAGATTCAGATTATATGTAGTCTGTGTTTATATGACACAGTGACATCAATAAGCAAGTCCACAAGCACACACAGCATGGTGCGTCCTTACCCGCTTTTGCCAAGCATGACAAGTCTCAGGTGTCCTTCCAAGCTTGAAGTAAAGTGGGATGGGAAATCCATGCAGCTGTGCTGTTTCTAAGGCACTCTAAGCACT